TGAAAAAATAAATAAATATATATATTTTAATATATAACTCAATATATATATTTATTTGTTTTTTCATTCATTTTAAATTTTATACAAACACTTCTAGGATAATCAATTTTGTTCATATTTTAATTTAAACTATTCTATACTTATTTTTATTTTACAATTTTAATCTATATATTTTTATATATTTTAGTATATTATTTACTATATATTCAATCACTCGCAAAGAATTAGTACAATTGATAATTTGTCTTTAATTATTTCTGTTTTCCAAATTTTAAAATATAAAACCTTCATTGATATTTTTAGGATATTGTCATTTATCGTATAATTTTAAGATATGATTTGTTATTAAATTAAAATGTAAGTTAAATTTTAAGTGAATTCATTCAATTTTTATATAATGAACCATTTTTGTATATATTAAATATCTAATTATTTAACTTTATTAATTATTAAATGCGATATTGCATTTATGAATAATGCATTTATGCGAAGTATTTATTTTTTCGTTAAGCATAATTTAAAGTTGAAGAAGAATGGAAATATAAATTAAAAAAAAAATTATTAAGTATTTAAATGATAATTTATTAAAGAGTTTTTATGTGGAAAAGATTTTCAAAGAAAAAGCTAAAAATAAAAATATTTATGTTATAAATATATAAATTAATCTTTTTTAATTAATTATTTCGAAGCAAGAAATTTTTAAAAATATAGTTCAAACTAAAAAAGTTTAAACTAATTAAATTAAACTTTGTCAAATTGGACAAAATAGATCGTTAGTCGAAAAATATAAAAGATCAAATGGAAATTACTTGCATCGTGCATCTATAATTTTTAAAAAAAGTCTTTGATGTTTTATTCAAGGGATGCAAATAAAGTTGTTTATAAAATTTGATATAAAATTTCAGAAAGATAGATAAAACTGACGTTAAATAAACAGATATTAAAGTGCTAAATATTGAATGAAATAAAATTGATTTTAAAATGATTTTAAAATGATTCCGAAAAAATATTATATTAATTTACTTACCTTAATGATTAAACGATCAATTAAACATGTTGATTAATGCCAGATGTAACACAACTAGCAGGATGTTAATTGACAATCGACCAGCCAAATTTCCTGCAATTAAATCATAACTTGTGTCAAAAACTATATGTAATCATTAATAAACATTAATATTTACTAGAAATATATTTTCAATATATTCCTCTAATTATTATCGTATAATTCTTAATAGATATCAAGTGCAATTACGTATAATGCTTAAAAAATCAACTAAAATATAAAAATTATTCAACTAATATATATAATAATAATAATAATATGGCTCTGCAAGATAATTGATAATTGATTTCCAAGTTTTACGTTACAGATAATTCTTTTGAAATTATGAAATGAAATATCAAATAAGATAATTAGATAATTTAAAATCTGTAAAATTTATTTGTAAAATTTTTATTTTTTTATTATCAAGTTATTTAAAAATATATATCTATATATTAGTGTACCGTATTTTATATTTTA